CCTACAATATACCGTAAAGGACAACCACCTCCACGCAACTACCATAGTAAGTTTTAAACGTTAAAAGTACGTTTAATAAGTTAACTTTGTTTGGTGGCCCTATCGCTTTGATTAATTAATCTAATCGATTCTAATCGACGCGCGGTGCGTCTGCTGACTGACAGCTCCCTTCTGTTGCAGCCGTGACGGCTGTAGACGGGCTCTGTACGTTGTCGCTGGTGACGACGGATCGTCGAAGCTGACGTCGGTGAAGTCTTAACGACCCGAAGGTCGACGTGTGGACGCTGCTTTGCCGGGCTGTGCATGAGCTATCTGACGCAGGCTACTGCCGGTCAAAGCGTCCCGTCCGTCAATTTTCGACTTCACGGTTGTATGACGCTCTCTGTTCCCTGGTTCTACACAAAGGCACCTGGTGTGTGAGGAAGCGATCAACTTGAGCAAACCCCAAGCCACCTGGTGTGTGAGACAAAGCGACGACGACAATATGGCCACCCAAGCCCCATGCCTAAAGTGTGAGGCTAGGGGTCGTGCGCTGTCCGTAGACGATTAAAACTACTGGCCTATCACCTCGGTGATAACAAAGAGCAGAGTCGCACGCTCCGTCGAGCCAACACTTGCCACACAAGCTGCGTGCTCCGAGGCGAAGCGCGTCGACGAATGTTGTCAGACAAACTTGGCCACTCGTGGTCTGAGAAATGCGGCGACTGACATCGAACTTATGTCACTTGGGTGGTGAGAGATAGAGGTCGAAATCGTCGGGTCACAGGCAGAAATTCCGGCACAGACGAACTCTGCAAGCCATCCGCGGTGTGCGAATATGTCGGCGACATTGCATCTCCGACATAACTCTCGCAATCTAGTGTTGAAGAAAACTGCGCCCCACCTACAACTTGTCGACAACTCGCTGCCACGCTTGGTGTCTGGATACACGAAGGACCGTGAAATACTGGGCGAGCGTCGAACCTCACTGCGATTCGATTCGCGAGCGTCTCGATTCCGCCGCAGTGCGCAGTGCGAGTGTGTGTACAGATGTGAATAATGCGTCGTATGAGCAAAGTGAACTTTGCGCGTGGTAAATAGATAAGATGCAGTTGTACATCGCAACGCACGGCTAAGCTTCGCGAACAAACGAGAACATTCTGATCTCTGAAGATGTTCAAGAGGCGAGATAGCGCCGGTCAAGAGCGGGTACTGGTCGTGCGACGTGGTGCATGCTTTAGTTCCATGACGATGGGATAAAATTTCATTGCGACGTTGCGGGGAGAATCGCGTGACTTTTTTTTTTAATTTTCGTAAGCAAGCTCAATGTCTGTGATGCGTGAGGCGTGATAAGTGGGTCACAGTAGTATGCTGGCGCGGCCTGGCGACTGGCACATAGGGCGTTGTTTGTTTGGTCTTGATCCAGCTGGATCGAACCTAACCAAACAATGCAAACGCATCTCAAGCGGTTCACGTTTGCGCCTGTTGACCTATCGACCGGGATGGACCTCCATAACAAAGAACCAAGCTGTGATGGCTAAGCGCGTGCCACCATTATTGGATCAGCCATTTGCATCCACCTCCCGGCTAGGCAGGGCGGTTTCAGTGGCAGTCGGAGATTCCCGTGGATGCCGACCAAACAGTCCAGATCCACGGGATGCCCGGGCGTGATCGCGCACCCAACAGACACCCGACAACCCCTGGAGTATCAGCATGCTCCGATCGATATTTCAGTGATTGTGATTATCGGTCCTCCTCATCAGCAAGCACAATACATTTTTCAAGGTCTACTGGTGTGGCCCCCGCAGCGTTCCCTCCCTCACTTAATTTCTACTGGCTGGGGTGTTAGATACTGAAATACTCTAAACTACGTCCTATATATGGGCGAAGGAAAGTAATGGGTTGGCCTAAAAGCACAATTGTTGAGTAGAACCTTTCGCCTACCGGCTCCAATACACTAGCAATCTAGGAGCGCGATAGGCTGTGTATGTTGAAAAGCTTTCAGTTTTCAATGCTTTCAGTATGGCTGTGTAGGTCAAAGGCGTGATTTGCAATGTTTTTGTCCCAAGCACGTTATTTTGCATAAGAGTTTCTGTGTATAATTTGTTCGCCGCTTTAGCATCTTTCGCGTGTAATTTTACTATGTTGTGTAGCACATTAAGAAAATTGATACTGAACAATATAATCAGGATTGACGAGAAATGTAACCAAGAATAAATTAATGAATTATTGTTGTAGCCAACCGATTAACACGCTTTTCTTTATAGTTAGCCAGATTGGGTGCAATCAGCAAAATAAGCCCATACAAAAGTTTTTATACAAATAGAAGTAGTATAGCACGTGAGACCAGGAATAAAAATGCAGAACAAGTATGAATGATATCAAACTTTGTTATTTACTTCTTGTATGTAATATGTTACAGTGTAATTTTGAGAGGTCTAGAAGCATAACTTGCTGTATCCTCAAATGAATTATAGTGTATTATAGTAGTATTATCAAATGTTGTGACCAGTCCCTGAGAACATAACATGTAATAACATGATTATGTTATCAGTATAAACTACATACATAAGCACTGTATATATGTTATTCGTCGAGGATGTATGGCCGCACCTCTTTGCTGGAGGAGGAAGGGTCCGTATAAAGTACCCCCGTCAATCAACGCTTGCCGGCTAATAATGTAGACACGCCCGACCGAATGCCTATTCATGAAAACCTCGCCGATCATGGCGCCATCTTCTAAATGGGTTTATTTGATCTCTTCAGACAGAATTTATATGCTGTCCCATTTCCACTATTTTCTATTCCGAGATGTTACTCTCCACTTTACTAGTGTAAGTATAGACATCTTGAGATACTTGGGCTAAGCTTGTTTTTTGGCGTAAAGGAACTTGAATGATTTATTTTTGTTTATGATCGCTGGCCTGGAACGGATTACGCCGTGATCTATGTGTCTAGTGTGCTTTACAAAATGGCTTTGTTTTGGCGAACGTCTTGTAAAGTGAGGCTTCCCGTTTCCAAATTAGCTGGTGCTGTACATGACCACAGTTCAGTTAGGCGGTTATTTGATTGTGTCTAATCAGGGGTCAAATTCAGCGAGCTTAAAATTAACGAGTGATGTTTTAAAAGTAAGGCCTGTAGTACTCCTAACTGGTCCTGCTACTACTAGTACCGGTTGAGCAAAACTGTTATGACCTTCCATTTATTTATAGGTCACCGTCAGCTGGCATGAGTCCCGTCTCTTCGCCGGGGTCGCTGCGATTCTACGACAGAGCACTAGCGGACTCGGTATAGATGATAGAATTCCACTTCCTCGAATGGTAGTAACCTTACGCCTGCTAGGTTATATTCTTTGGTATCTACAACGTTCATTTCATAGTTCAGTCAATCCTGCAGGTTTGGCCGACCGTTTGCGTGGGCCGCGCTATCAGTTTTGGCATTTTCTTATACCATGTGGCAGCTTGCATTTTTCTATACTATGTAAGGAAAAATAAGGTATCTCCAATCGGGTATATTCATCTCATCCTGCTTTGCAAGTGAAATTTCCTCGGCACAGTAGCAGTTTGATATTAATCCAACTGATGTAACTATCAACTAATATGGCACTTGGAGCTGCGGAGGAACCTATACGCACCCCGATCGAAGTTTCTTTTCAACCGCAGCAGCCTTCATCAATGACCATTAGGCAGGTGGTCGACTAGGCAAGGCAGAAGGAAGGAAGACAGCCCGCGCGTCGGCACAAAGGCGGAGTGTTAGGAAAGCTCCTGCCTTGAATTGCAAGGAGGCCTCAACCCATCCCGACACGCCGAAATACACAATTTAGTAAGTGTATCAAGGGATACTCAAAGTAATAATGAATGACGACGTAGTATATCATAACTACGTACATAACCAAAACGGAATATACTGAACGTCTGTACACGAACGAAATGTCTAAATGATAGAGCATGTCATTCTGGGCAGGCTGTTACCATTAGCAGTGGCTACATAAAGATCAGGAGTAAATAATCTCCCAGCCAAATCTGCGAAGATTATTTACTCGCCGATAAAATCCAGACTGAAAGAAGAACGTGCAGCGGCGGTTTGTAAATTACGGCATTAATCGGGTTGGCTTGTGGTAACTTTCCAACATCTCTATCCACACAAAGCACACACAGAGTAGTTAAGAACTACCGGTGTAAGCCCCTTCTCTCCAGCTGGCATGTAGCCTGTAGCTGGAGCGAAAAGCTACGCGGTTAGAGCTACACCTATCACATGGAACGTGGTTTCAAGCTGCTAACGCTGTAGCTGGACGCGAACCTACGCACGGTAGAGCTACACTATACATGGAACATGGTTTAAGCTCTACGGCTGTAGCTGAGCGAAAGCTACGCGGGTAGAGGCTTAACACTATACATGGAACATGGTTTAAGCTCGACCTCTGTATGCGGAGCGGCTACGGGCCTGACAACCCGGGTAGAGCTAACGCGGGAGTTTGAAGCCTGTTGACACCGAGCAGCGCGCGACTGGCGATCTCCTAACGTTCGGTCTAATCTCCCCCCGTCTTTCCTCACTTACAGATCCGAAAACTATCTAACATATTCTCTACGCAAAGTACAGCATGCGGTTGAGCGCCCAGTCGGAGGTTTAACGTCCGTGCTCTCTTCCCTCCGGGGCTTTCTGGGCCACGCAATCAGATCGCGAAGCGCCTATGCTTACATATCTGGCTGCTACGCAAAGTGAGCACATGCGAGTGAGCGTGTTTTAAACAGTGTCCGTCTCTCCTCCCCGCGTCTTGTCTCCCCAACAGCGTCCGGAGGCCTATCTAGCATGTCTTCTCTACGCAAAGTACAGGGCATGCGAGTTGAGCAGCGTTTAACGTCCGTTGCTCGTCGTCTCGACCCCGTCTTTCTCCCCACAGATCCGAAGCCTATCTACATAGCTCTCTACGCAAAGTACACATGCGAGTTGAGCGCGTTTAACGTCCGTCTCTCTCCCCCGTCTTTCTCCCCACAGATCCGAAGCCGAAACCGAAGGACCAGCTGAAGGAGAATGTGTGGCGGATGCGGCAGATCCAGCAGGAGTCGCTGCGGCGGCAGGCGGAGGCGAACAAACCAGTGAAGGCCCTCTGGAAGTCACAGAAGTACAACGACGTTCCGCCGCGGGTCGGAGACTACGAGAAGGTACGGGGAATTTGTCGTCGGGCGGTTGCAGAGAACGTGGAAAACCCGTTGCGGCAGCGTGCGAATGGTACTTATCAACTCGAAGCTACGAATGATTAGCTGTGAGGGGTGTTGGACAGTCGACATTTTGGCATGCACGCGTGAAAAAACGAATACAAACTAATCTAGCTGTTTAATGTTTGCTGTCCCCAGACCCATGTTTTTTTTAAAAGGGGTAGGTAGGTATATTTTTTTTGCGACGCATAATAGTTATTTTAAGTCTGTCCTCATGTTTGCCACACATGCTTTGTGTTTCAGTCTTAACTATGAAAAAAATAAAATAAAATATGGAACCCAAAATGTCAAAAAAAACTTTTGGGTCGCGGCTATTTTCGTGGGTCGGTCGGAGGACAGCAAACATATAATTTTTTAAGGATGGCCTTAAGTGATTTAGCCACAATACCACAAAAAAATATATCCAGAGGGGTGTTGTTATCGCCTTCAGACGGATTGGTCTGTTTATTTTGATGAAAGTGTGTTCGATCCCTGAATTACTCGGATAAACGGCTTCGAAGCAAACTTGACGTCAGCGATCGCGCGTTGTTTTATCACGTCGCAGGAGCCGCCGTCGGTCCCGCGTTCCGAGTCGGCTAGGAACTACCTCCGCGCTCATTCGCGACCCGGCACGCCCGACCCCGTGCGACCGAGGTGGGCGTCCCCTCATCCGGCGGAAACGGATCAACGCAAACGTGTGAGTATCGACGAGATGACGACGATGATGTTGAAAAGTTGTCCGAATTCGTTTCGTCGCTGTCAGTAGCGAATACCGATAGCCTTGGAATATCGGTCGTTCGAGGGAAATTCCAAAAATTTTCCTGGTTTTTGTGCTAAGAGCTATATTCACTGGTTAACTGTGACACGCTTTGAAGGAAACACAAAAAGTGCCCTTTATAGACAGGTGTCTGTTCTATAGAGGTGTTATTTATAGACAGGTGTCTGTTCTATAGAGGTGTTATTTATAGACAGGTGTCTGTTCTATAGAGGTGTTCTTTATAGACAGGTGTCTGTTCTATAGAGGTGTTCTTTATAGACAGGTGCCTGTTCTATAGAGGTGTTTTTTTATAGACAGGTGTCTGTTCTATGGAGGTGTTCTTTATAGACAGGTGTCTGTTCTATAGAGGTGTTCCTTATAGACAGATGTCTGTTCTATAGAGGTGTTCTTTATAGACAGGTGTCTGTTCTATAGAGGTGTTCACTAACACAGGTTTGACTCTACTCGGGTCGAATCTGGTCCAAACTGTATATGTATATATATATATATACAGGGTGCGAAATTAACATGAGTCCGGAGTCAAATACCCCCTGATTTACTGTCAGACTTCCTGATTTGACATATGCAGGAGTCTCTGTGACTTCCTGAAAATTCTGCCATACTAACTAGTTCATTCCGGAGCACGGCCTCGCGGAATTACCGTATTTTTTCAGCTAATGTCCCAAGAAAATTTGGCAGACGTGTAACTGCATGAATCTTAAAAATAAGAGTTTGATAATATCTTTTAATATCTTTAATTTTGAACCTCAGACTGCGGACTCCCTCATTGTGCTGCGGACTCCCCACTTTTTGAGGGTAGGGAGTCCGTTGGACTTCCGTGTTCAGAAGTTAATTTCTACCCCTGTATATATATATACAACTGTCGTATGCATGTCTGCAGTAACATACGCACAGGAAATCGACTGAAATCGCTTTTTTCTCCCAGTTTCATTCGACATCACACGTACTAAACTACTTCCTATCTCCACCCTCAGGAGAACGGACTCGCTCCTCGTAGTAACCGTGGCAATGACGAACCAATCGCGGCTCAGAAGCCGACTCGGCAGCCAAGCCTTCAACGATGCGTATCTGTGGAACGTCTGGCGCTGAATGGACCCAAAACTACCACAGACGACAAGCCGCAGGTGATTCATGCAGTGAAGCTCTCACCAATTTCTCCCTCTCTCTCTCTCTCTCTCTCTCTCTCTCTCTCTCTCTCTCTCT